CTCCCTGACCATGGAGGGGCTGAATTCCACCAGGTAAGAGAAGATGTCTGTAGCTGCTGCCCTCACCTGCAGGTCATCCATTCCCTGAACATGGGAAAAGTAAGAGTTAAAGACAGCAACAAAAAGATAATTCTACACACATTAAATGTTTATAATTAATAGGCAAATGCAAAGCCCAGAACATACCATGACTATTTCAAGAGCAGGTAAAATGCCTAGATTTGCCAGAGTTTTGAAGAAAGCGTCCCTGTTTTGTGGCTGCAACGTTTGTGAAAAAGCACAGAATTCCTTGACAAAGTTCACCTGAGGGATACAGAGAAAAAACAGATGTATTGATTGATTAGCATTTGACAGATTAAAGCAAACAGTTTAAGGTCACTGACAAAAATACTATCCCCAAGCATTGTTTAATTTGTGATGTTGTACAACAGTGGGAGAATTAATTTGTAGTTCAGTCTGAAACAAAGTCATCTTCACCATTCCAGGATATGAAGCTTTTCAGAAGTTGAATAAATGACAACTGCATGGACCAACAGAATGAACAATTCCCCATTTCATTCTCAGTGAGAAACAACACTGTTGGATGATGTTGTCAAAGATGTTGTATTACAGGCCAATAGACAAGGAGGCAGTTCATATTAAAAATCAGTATGAAAACCCATGCAGGAAATCTTTAACCCTAGGAAAGAAATGGGATTACAGACAGCAAAATGAATCCATTTAACAAGAACAGTAGTACTGAGCACATTTTGTTCTAGCCAACTTCATATTACTGTCCAACCTTTAGGTTTCTACATTTTACCACTAAAGGTATCATTACAACATGTGGTCTGGAGATATGACAACTGTTTGACTTACAAGCTCTCTCCTTTTACTGTCCTCTGTGGCTTCGTCTGTGAGCTGTGCAAAGACCTCTGTTAGGAACTTCTCGTCCTCCTGCGGCACATGGAAAACAGGGTTAAGAAATCAAAATATTAAGGTTAAAATATAAAGTCAAACCAAAGAGGGTTACAAAACTGAATCCTGGACATTTTGCTTCGGGGTTTTACAGCAACAAGATTTAGGAATAAAAAAGTGAGCACTGACACAACCCATGATTCTTATAGACTACTACCCTTCCTTATTAGCCCTAACGTGTTTATTTAAAAATGATCACTTAAATATGAAATGGATGGACTGTAAGATACTGTTTGCATCAAGAAAATGACTGTATGTCACAAATTATTTTCAAATAACAGCTGCCTCACATAAGCTTCATGTTGAAAATTACTTATAAGCAATACAAGGACCTGACCTTATTCTCTGAATGACTTTTCAAAAATGGTTTCTTTATTTTATATTACATTACAAAACTTGATGTGCAGACACATCTTTCACTTGTGGACAAAAACTAAAATAATGTGAAAAGTCTCCTCAGCAGCCATACATTGTTTGACGACGCCATTTACAGTCAGATCGTCACAATCTTTATCCATTTCAATCACTGGAAATTCAGGTATCAATTTATTATCAAGTATGAACTGTCATCATCATCTGGAATTACAGGGAGGGCAGGTTCTCTCACACCTGTCAAACAAATTTCACTTTAGTGATCATAGATGTAGGAAAATACAGTACATGCAGAAATGTTCAACTCCAGCCTGTTCAGCTGACATAGAAATGTGGTACAGAAAAAACTCATTAGAGAATGGCTTGTTAATACAATTGTGCCTCAAAGAATTATACAAGTTACCTGGCTTGAATCCTTACCTGCAACATACTGACAATCTCCACCTTGTTGAAGAAGATGAAGGACGTGAGTGTGGACAGGAAGTTCTCCTCAAAAACAGATGGTGTGGGCAGGATGATGTCCTGGATGTACTGCACCCGGTAGGTCTGGTGGATCTTCTGCCGCAGCTCTGAGTCCGTGATAGGGATCACCTCCTTAAACTTTGCTGTCTTGGTCAAGAATTCCCGGTGCCGTTTAGGCTGAACCAGCGCTGGGTCATACTCAAGGCAGCCCACTACATCCATGATACAGTCATCAGAGAACATCACCTCAAAGAGGGCTGCTTTATTGAGGAACAAGACACCCCGGACAATCTCATAGAGGTGATGAAGACCTTCCCTGTTGTCCAGGTCCTCACATACTCTGAAGAGACCCAGGAGTTTCTTGATGTAGCCCTCGCTCATCAAGGCCAAAGCGAGTTTTTCCCTTCGGATGGGCGAAGACAGGACAGAGGTAACAAGGTCAGCGATCTCCTCCAGTCGGCTTAGCTCGCATGGCGGGAGCTCCACCAGGTGGCTTGTCTCTGGAATCTCCTCAAAGCGCTCCTCCTCGGACTCATCAATGGGGTCCTGGGTGATGTCCAGAGCAGGGTCCTTGCCTTGAACCTGGAAAATAAATAGTTGGTAGGTATGACGTTAAGACCTTAACCAGAAATATCAATGTGGTGCCTCTTGCCCTTTGCAGTCGGGTTATTAAAATATCATCACCAGCAAACTGGCACCACTCCTGTTTATGTACTCTCAAGTAAATAAATGTTATAAAAGAATGCACCAAGCTTTGTAAAACTGGGTTTACTTTACCTGGCAAATCTTCTCCCAGATCTCATCGCAGCCTGCCTTTTCCTGGAAACTTAGGGCAAGGTCATAATTATCTGCTTCCGACCAGACAATCAGTGTGTCCTGAAAGGAGGAGAAAGAAACATCAAATTGTATACAAAGAAGTGCTTATCATATTCAGAGGACACACTGGCACATCATGGTTCCATGCAGTGCTCACACACAAATGTAACATACTCAAAACATGCTGCAAGAGGAGTGAGACATATTTACAAAACACATACAAGTATTTTCATGCCTTTTCATGTCCTTTAAAATTACTAATAAGATTAGTTTGACTCCAATATACAATAGACACATTTAACTCAGGTCTATATCTCACTTCATGAGGCAGGTTGCTGTTAAAAATGTCTACTGTACTGACTGTTAAAATGATAAATACCAGGTTTGCTGGTATGGTAAATACTAATAATGTGACTTGCACATTGCTTGTTTCCTGGTTACACTTAAATCAGACACTTGTGTCCCATTGTCTACACTGCATCATAGTAAAAGTAGCTGTTCAGCAACAAGTCTCAGTGTTAAAATGATAAAATTTTCACACTGTACTTTTGAAAAAACGGAGATGTGCGTGTGAATGCTTTTTGTTGCTGATCCAGACTCTATAACCTTACCTGTTGTTTCTGATATGCAGTATTCGGGCTTATCTTCGACTCCAACAGCAGAGATCCTAAAACACAAAGACTTGGGTAACTTTTCATTTCCGAGCTAACGTTAGTCACAACGAAGATCACCACTTAATAACGTAACCATTTTTTGAAGGTTAAGGTTAGTTAATCTGTCTGCCAGTGAGCAATTAACGCTCAACAGACAATGTGAAGCGCTGGATAAAACAATGTTGTATTATTACAAAGTTAAAACTAACAACAGAAGAACTTGTTATCGCTAGCGTACTCCCATGTTAATTATTTTGGGGGTTATCTGTGTGTGGACCCATAATGATTTACTATCCAGAGCAATAACAAGTTTGTACATTTAAGACTAGACTTCCAAGGCCCCCCATGCTACTGAGATCACGTCGCCTGCTAAACTAACGATCATGCTAGCACCAGCAATTCAATAAATCATTGCTTTTTATCCAGGGTCAATGCTAATGCTGATTGTTCAGCTATCTGAAACAAGTGGCTCCAAACCCTGCAGCACATTCAAAGAAGCAAATAGTTAACAAAGTAAACATAGTGGCCAATTGAAGCATTCTGTCCGAACAACCAGAAGTTAGCATGCTAGCGCTAGCCAACGTAACGTCAATGCGGCTATGCTAACTGGGAACTTACCGTCTGATTCGGCCCGAACTAATAACGACATTGCCTTCAGTCGGTCAACAAACGTAGACGAAACGTGTCCGGTACCCCGATCATCCCACTGCCGGTCTTCATTTAGCGTATATACTTTCACTCGCCGCCGAGTGTCCGACATGGTTAACCGAGTCGGAGCTAGCAGGCTAGCAGGCTGCTAACAAGCTATCACCTCACCCCGTCTGGTGTTTTCCTACCCTCGACCTGTTAACTTTGTTTCCACCCGCATGTTACTAAACATGCACGTCTAAGTAAAGTTCACAGCAGCGGCACAGTGTATCAGTAGCTATTTCATAAACATATTACGTCCACGATGTGAAACAACTCAACAGGAGGCCTCTTATCAAACAGTAAAATTCACAGAGAACACAACAACTCTAACGGCCTTCTTGCTAACGTCCACAGACCGCCATCTTGTAATCCGATCTTGTGTTCTTTTTCTTCTTCGACGTCAATCAAGCGCTAACTGCCGCGGGGTCTCCTCCTCCGAGCGACATCGTCCAATGGCAGCACCGCAGCGCCACGAGGTTAGCGCGCCATCTACAGGAAAGACGAGGAACAGCAGCAGCAATTACCTGCAGATGACTTTGTGTAGAGCAGGGTGTACAAACTTTTATGAAAACGGGCCAGGTTAGATAATGTGAAAATACTTGGGGGCCTCCTGCATCATATGGGTTATTAAAAGACACTGTTTTATCATTTTAAGTTAATAATAATAATAATAATAATAATGATAACTTTCCACCCTCACTGTTGACTTTACAATTCTTTGCTGTGTACTGGCACTTACTATACTTATCACAAGACAGGGGTTGTGTTTTAATGTATTGGGATATACCGTTAATACGTAGGCCTACACTAAGTGATATATTGTGGTACACACACATATATTTGGCTCCGTGGCCCAGCATACACCTGTATGTGGCTGGGCATTCTTACAACCAGTGGCTTTTAAATGGTTAAAAAAGAAAAATAAGTTCTTCACACTGCTTTTTAATGTTTTTATGAATTAATTTTTCAGCATCTAGGACCAGAGAGCTTGGCATTCATCTTTATTCCAGCACTTGCCTGTCAGATCAGTGAGCCAAACACACACACAAATGATTTCAATACCCCGTCAGTTTATTAGAACAGATATGAAGCATCCCAAATGTCCATGTTGCAGTTCAATATAGTACTTTCCCAACCCAAAGGGGGACAGTATCTATAAAAAAGATAATGAAGCAGTATTGGACAGTACAGTGGACTCCTTCTGTCCAGAATTTAATCAAGTGTATCAACGTTGTCTCCTTTGTCACCCAGTGGAGATTACATCTAAATCTGGCGCAAATTTCTGCCACAAATTTAGGATTGAGAGTTAGAAACTGAACAACAAATTCAGCCTGAGGCCGAATAATTTTGTAAACAGCTCTACAGTCGATCGCATAATGGGGCACCAGCTCCTGACATAGATTTTTCACAATTTCTTGAGCCTCACGAGTGAAGGAAACTGTCCTTTCACCATGATTATTTTGGAGTCCACCACCTGAACCCTGCACATATCAAGCAACTGTCTTCATGGGACGTACAACTGGTAACTGTGTACAGTATTGAAACAGCTATGCATGCTCCAGGATGGGTGGAAGATGCCTCCAAACTTAAGGTAGGGTGGACAAGATTGGCTACAACTGTGAACAATTTATTATATCTTTAATTATTCCCTTGTTTTTATATCACATTTTTTCTTTATCCCACCTTGCATCCCGAGTTCAACCTGGTTGTATTGACCTTTTTCCTCTCTGAGTACAATTTGTAGCACTCAAGAGTATTTCTTTGTTGGCATCTGAATGTTGGGCGAGGTTTAAGTCTGATTCTTCGTGTGTGCGCTATTGTTTGTGCTGGAAAAGGCTGAAATACCACAAAGCACCAATGATTGTTCTTTTTACACTCGACTCACATATACTGTAAATGCAACATGACATAAAGGGGAGTGTTAAAAAACAACTAAACATTTTACCCACTTTGCTTTCTTTGTACATGTCTTGATCCTCGCAGTTTAGAGGACACACTCACACACACACACTTGACACCAAATATGGAAGTCCCATACCACAAGAGGCAGTATTATCACACATGAATAAGAAAATCATTGTGACATTGCACTGTGTCTGTTGGGTGAAAGCTACTGTGTTGGAAGAAACTAAGGAAACCCTCTTACTGCTTGATGCTGTTAATGATAGCTGAGGTGGCAAATCTGAAAACAAGATACCATAAAAAGGGGATATTTAAAAATAAAACATCTATACTTGTTGAAAATGTGTCTCCTGCTCATTACTCCCCAAGCACACTTCTCAGTTTGTGCACATCCACTGAAGCACGATGACTGCAGGACGCTGTATATGATGAGCTGCGTTTCCCTCCGGTGCAGTTTAACCTCATCCATACCCACAGCAGCAGGGTAAACCTCTTCATGTACAGCACTGAGTTCAGTTTGTGACGAGATCTGATGCTCTTGGTTTGGTAGATTCCTCAATGGAAGTATGTTGCAGCAAAATCTACTCAGTTTATATCCAAAGCTGGAAGTTAGCCTGTCATGCTGGCGTGTCACAAGTCAGTGTTGGTCGTTTGGCTGCTGTTTGAACCCATGGAGATGCTCTGTCTCTCACTAAGTGTCTTGACAACGGATGCAGCGGGAGACTGGAGCACCTTCCGTGAAAGTCTCATTCTGCCGTCTGTTGGATCCCGTCCAAAGTACTTGACCTGTTAGCATAAATCCAGTCAGAGACAGTGAGCCCAGAATGTGAACACAGGAGGATAATTTGACAATACAACCTGTGCTGACTGACACGTACCTGTATCTGCTGCCCCACCTCTAAACCCAAAGCACTTGGATGTTTGATCTGAAGGAGGAAAACACAAAATGATCTTTAAATGGACAGTCTGGATCTTTTGAAACAGGGCTGTATGAGGCACTTTTCCACAGTCAACGTATTATACTGAGTAAATGGCTGCCGGCACGGGCTGTTGGCAGAAACATGGGCACACAGGCAAATAGAACACAGAGGCAAATTCACTGACCCGTTTATGGTCCAGTTGTGAGTTGTGCAGCAGGACAGCACTCATGGTGGGATAAAGTTTCACCATTACACCAATGTCCCTGCAGCAGAGCATGAAAAGGCTTCAGAAGCTGTTTGAACGCTAAAGGTTTGATTCACCCGTAACTCGATTTCTATTAACATCATGAAAATCATCATCAAATACTGTTTTGCAGTAAACAATTGCAATGTGTTGGTTTACCTTATCTCAGTAATGGTGGCAGTGTAGACAGCACCAAACTCCAGCTGCTGCTCTTGCTGCAACACAAGGTAGAAACACAAATGTACGTTCATGCATATCAGTACATGTGCAACCATGAATTTACATTCACATGCAAACGGCCTCATGTTCAGATCAATCTCAGACTTTCTGAAAGCTCTGTGACGTGGTGTGGGTTTAATACGTTTTTCTAAAATGTGCAGTTTTCAGGTGGCGGAGACTCACATCATCTTTGCAGATTTCACTGATGAACTCTTGGGCTTCATGCATGGCTCCTGGTGTTGGAGCGAACACAGAGAAAGTCTCCTCGTCCACCTGACTTATTGTCACACCTCAAGAGGAAAAAGCATGTCAAGGTTTCAGCTTTAAGACGTCTGTATTGTGTAGCAGACTGAAATGCTTGGCTAGTGTCGTGCTTCACTTAAGAAGATGATGTGTTTCTGGTTGGTTTTTTGATTCCGTTAAATATGAATTTTAGATCACTTCTTACCTGTTTCAGCTTGCAGCCTACGGAGGTTATAGCCCCCTGGACCAACAAAGCGTGCTCGTCTCGAAACAGGTACCCGGACAGTTTCTAAAGACAGAATAAAAGTCACACACACCTCAGTTGCCAGTACACAGTAAAAAAAAAAAAAGCTAAATATACATGCACAGATTTATATTCAAACACAAAACATACCAACAAGAGGTCCGTTCTCTTTCCTCGTCTCTCTGGGCTTTGCTATACATTTGTTCATGATGCCCAGGATTTCCCTCTTTGCCACTGGATCATAATGAAATTGAAACAAAGGTCAATAACGACACCAAAAATATGCACAGTCTTTATTCTTCAGTGTAAGACCTATGTTTTGGTGCCATTTGAGCTTACCTGTGGCCTGCTGGATAGCCTCCATGACCACCTTCAGAGGCAAACCTGGGATCTTCACGTCAGCCTGAAGGTTAATAGAAAAGTGTAAAGGAGTGGACCAAAGGATGAAACATAAGGTAACTTCTAATATCTTATAATAAATGATAAACTATGTATTTATGGCAAGCAAGTCTTTAATTTGAGATTTACATCTGCTCTCGTCTCTTTTCAATTTCTCAGACAACACCAAATTATATTTACACAACACTGACAACGAGCCGGGTGAAATATTTGTATGACAAACTGATTTTACTTATTTCATTTTCACCTACAACATGAGCCAAAAATTTTATTTTAGATACTTTCGATGGGTTACCAGACAGAGTACCTGTAAAGCAGTGATGCCTTTGTTTGTTCCTGCCAATTTGAAGTCCATGTCTCCGAGGTAATCCTCTATTCCCTGGTTAGAAAACAATAAATATAAGCACATATTCAACATTTCCAATATTATTAAGCAAAGACATTAGTTACAACTTTTTGAAGATATGTTTTGCTTAACTGCAATTTTCTTCCACGTGTTAATAATAAATGATTAAATGTATGTACCAGAATATCAGTTAATAATCTGTAGTCTTGGATGTCAGCAGGTTTCTCTGGGTTGGCCTTGGAAATGAGTCCGATTGCTACACCTGCCACAGCAGAGGAGATGGGCACACCTGGGAGACACAGATTGGGACATATTAGCTACATTTTATCACACAATTGTACTTTAGTAAATGAGAATAGAAATACTTTCCAGTCTAGCTATCCTATCCTGTATATACATCTTTAAGTTGCTTAGAGAGAGTAGTATAAGAATAATGAATATTTATTTAATCATGAGCAGCTTCAGTATTAAAATGCTCTGGTTAAATACTAAATGCACTCATAAATAACTCTGCACAGGGGGGATCCCACACCCCAGGGACAATTTCACTACAGAGATAATCAACTGAAAAAGAGCTACAGTAACTGATGCAGTCCTGCTCCAGTACCTGCATCCATTAGAGCGAGGCTGCCTCCACACGCTGAAGCCATCGAGGAGGATCCTGAGAGCAGATAGAGTTGGAAGCAGGGAGAGGAAGAGAAAAAAAGGTGATATTCAGACATTATAAGCCCGCGTTCCTGCCTGAGACATCCTGCTCACATGTTCCCTGTAGCGTTCTTAAACTTTCACAACTGTCACCAAACTCACCGTTTGACTCCAGCACCTCAGAGGTGACCCGTATAGTGAAAGGGAAGTCTTTGGGAATGACTGGTCTCAGAGATTTCTCAGCCAGGGCCCCTGGGAATACACAAACAACCCAACATGAACAAACACACAGCGATTGTCCAGAGGAGTCTTGCTGGGAATGAAAGGTTAGCAGACACTGCATTCAAGTAGAAGATGTCAGTTGGAACACAAACCATGTCCGAGCTCTCTCCTGTTCATGCCGCCCATCCTTCCAATCTCATTAGTTGCATATGGAGGGAACTGAAATTAGAAGGCAAGGTTGATGATTTCAAGTTCACTGTGAAGACTACGAGATAGGGAATCATACATCTAATAAAATATGTGACTTTATAAATGACAACAGGATTTTTCTCACCTCATAGTGAAGCATGAAATTTTTGGATTTGATGCCACTGCAGAAGAAAAATGAATGAAAGACCTGAGTTAAATCATCTTTTACATACTTTACAGTTTTAATTTATGTATTGAAGTCCGTGCGGGTAATTTAAAACAACCCTGTGTGCCGTGACATTCAGATATGGACAGATTTAATGTTCCTGAAGTAAAAGTCAATGATATGTGAACTGCCCTGATAATATGAACAGTATGAATGTGTGGTTTAGATGTGTGAAAATGACTTTACCTCAGAGCTGTGGTGATAATATCTGCTTTGACACTGGATTCCAGGGAGTCAAATGTGACACTGCACAGCACCTATATAAAAAAGGAAGAGGACGAGGACTGAGCTTTCTTTTTCAGGGCATCTTTCTCACATAAAAATCAAACTTCAGAACAAAGAACCTCACTGGTCACCCTCCTACTGCTACTGAAATTAATTATCAAATCTAGCAGTTGCAGAAAACAGCAGCAAATATCAGTCTTACTTCTCCATCTGATCTGAGCACTACAATTTTATTCTTCTTTTAACAAAAGTCATCTTTCAAATCTCTCTACTCACCTGTGTTTGTCCTCTCTGGAACAGAGCGGAGCCGTGCAGCGGTTTAAAGAGGTCGACATCACAGGAAATGTTCCGTAAGGCAGTCAACTCCCTCCCATCACATCTACAACACATACAAAAAAAATCCAGTTGCAAAGGGACATCAAGTGTACTGAGAATATGTATTAATATCACCATGGGCAGTGCTTCTTACCTCTTGTACTCATTTAGCACCAAATTTTGGAAGACTTCTTTGGTCACAGTGTTGAAGGATTCAATGACTTCAAAGGAGTCAGCCTCAGGGAATCTTTCTACACATGGAAGACATCAGTTGACATTGTTCAGCTGACAGGTAGGAACACAAATTAAATACACAGACACAGATGAACATGATTGTATGAACGGGATTGGGACAATATTTACAAATTAATAACTTGGAAATCTTTCCATGCAGCATAAATAGAAAGGATGATCTACCTTTTAGGTCCTCTTCAGTTTCTAGTCGAACTTTGTTGATAGCTTCATCTCTTGAAATCTGAGATTACGATGAGAATATTACAATTGCTGAACAAAAAATAAGGTTCTTCTGAGATACATAAACAGTGTCATATGAACATCACTGATTGTAGCTGCTTTAAATTACTTACATAAAACAGAAAATGTAATACTCACTAAGCGCAGTTAAAAAAAGGCTAAAATGCAGTGTTAACTTTAAATCGAAATCTGGGGACAGACGTCATACTTTACCTTGTCGTGACTATAATCAGTGAAAACTGCATAGATCTTCTCAGAAGCAGATCTGTGAGGAAGACAAGGAGGAAAAATCTTTACTAGTGTATAAAACAATATAAGTCCTATTTTTTCACGGCTTAATCAAGGTCCCGAGCACAACAGGTAAACACGTTACTGAATAATACCTGCCTTTGTCTAATTCACAGCTGTTTGATTTAAGAAAGCAATCCTGACACTTAAATAAAGTCCTGATGCTTATTAACTTCATCACTCTGGGACTATGGAAAACTATTTCATCACTGGTCTTACTGTCGAACATGTTCCACCATTTCCGTCGGGGCTGAGAAGATCTTGACCGGGGTACGTTTGGTGACCTTCTGCTCTCGTGCCAGCTGCTGGATGGCGTGTATGATCTGCTGGGTGTGTTTGACTCCCACCTTCACTGCATGGCAAAAGTCCTGCTGCATCACATTCTCACCTGACGCCTCGATCATCACTGGCGGACAGAGAGTCACATTAGTGTGTAAGTGCTGTATGATGCCATCAGATACATGCTTATTTAAACCAGTAAAAACAGTGACTAAAGCAGTTTCATGTTAAAAAAAATTGTATTTTTATGATGCTGATTGTTGCAAAGGCGCTGCTAACTACGGTGGCTGATGCAAAACACGAATGGCCCTATCTAGAGCCAGTGTTTGGTTTGTCCTTTCTAAGCTTACGTATAAACGTTATGGCAGACTCTGTGAACGAGGACCCACTAGGCCTTCAGGAAGTGTCCTGGGCTTTGCAGCCAATTTTAATAGTGGCCAAACTGTGTATTGTACTGTAAAAGACATGTATGTAAACCAGTGGACACACTTCTCTGAGTGTCACAACCCCCATGAAATGACTCGTTTCACAATCAGGATTTGATCCATTCGGTCCGATAACATCTGGAAAGTCTAGAAGAGCCGCACAATCAAACTGTTTTATCCCGAAATCCTACACTCTGACAACTTGGACCTTTAAGTTATTGCATTCTTTCCATTCTTAATGAGTTGTTCCATCATTGGACATCACATTTATTGCCCAGTTTTTAATGATCTGCTCAATGCACAATGAATGTATACATTCTTTTTCTTATTGCTTAAAAGTTAAACTACATTTTTTAACCAATTTAGATTTGTCTGAACAATTCATAAAGTTTGATATATTATGATATCATCAGTCACAGTAAGAGTTAGGCTACTTGGCTTGAAAGCTACACTTTGCAACTGATTTATAAGCTGCTGTTAGTTTGAAGCATTACGAGATGTTCATGGAAAAGTACTAATACTAAATGACTGTTCATGTTCTAGTTGTTTTTTTAAGTAAACAAACATCGAGACAGAGTGTTTTTTAGTGTTTGCCAACTTACCCACTTGACTGCTGGGGGCTCCGGCCACAATCAGGTTGAGGGTGCTGGAAGACATCTCTGCCCGAGTGGGGTTGACCAGCAACGCTCCGTCCACCATGCCCACACGCACAGCACCTGGAAAAACACAGATAAACACGTAGGCCCAAGCTACATTTAAACATGTGCAGAATGACATCGCAGGAGTTGGAGCTGGACAAAGTGAAAACCAGGATTTAAGGTCAAGAATTCAAAATATATGACAGGCCTACATCTGTTGTGTGTTCCTCACCTATGGGTCCATTCCAGGGGATGTCAGACAAGGCCAGAGCAGCGGAAGCTTCAACAAAAGAAATATTGTGTTAGCCAAGGATGTAAAAAAATCTCTGCTCAATGGAAAACCTTGATGGCTAAGATTTAACTCACCTGCATTAATAGCCAGCACATCTGGATCATTGATGCCATCAACTGCCAGCAGGTTGCAAAGGACCTTCAGGAAACATGGACAGACAACAGGAAATGTTGGAGACAGATGCACATTAATATCAGAGGCAAACTATTAACACATAACGACAAAAACAATTTCAAACTGAACTGACCTGAGTATCATAAAAGTAACCAGGAGGGAACAGGGGTCTGATGGATCTGTCTGAGCGACAGAAACATGACGAAGTGTTAGTCAAAGCAGCTTAGGCACAATAAAACATCAGCTACATTAACAAGGCACTTATCATCTCACCTATGAGTCTGCTGGTGAGGATCTCATTGTCAGTGGTGCCCAGCTCTCGCCTCAAATAGTTAGTGGGAATTCGACCTGCAGCAGCCGCTTTCTGTCTGTAGTCCACCTGTCAACCAAAGTGGACACACACTCTGTAAAGTGTTTTCCTTAATGACATTCTGCACTGAGGTCATCTGACTCATAATGACATCCTGCTGGTTTCTAGCTGTGGCGCAGGTGAGTCACAAACAACTGATGGTGACAGGCTGTTAAACGCATTCTATGCACTCAATTATTCTACTAAATCCATTTACATAGATGTAACAAGACCAGACTGATTCACAGTCACAAGCTAAAAACAAAGACAGTTTGGGGATTTTACTGTAATGTTAGAGAACATACCACAAGAGGCATGAACTGTGATGGAGAGGGTTTGGTTTTGCTCACAGCAGTCACCATCACAGACGTATCGCCCAACTTCAGAAAGAGAGAGAGATGGAACAGGTAATCAAAAAATACAGTTACAAAATCCCATATTTTATGCAGTGAAGAGCAACACATTTTGAGTGGGAAAAGAACTTTCATTTACACAAGCTCCCTTACACTTAGGCAGGATTACCAAGTGGGCAAAGTGCTCTAACTCAGTGGTTCCCAACTGGTTCAGCCACTGGGTCCAGATACCTCCTCATTCATTTGTTACATTACATTTTATTTCTGGGTGCCTTTCATGACACTCAAGGTCGCCTAACAGAGTAAAATACAATAAAATACAAAGTACAAGATAATTCAACATTTTACAACAAACAAACAAATATCAGTTTAAAAAGCAAACAAAACAAACATAAACAAAATATCTGTTCAGGCTTACCCAGTCAAAGAGAGTAGGAAAGCCTGAACAGAGGAATTTTCAGCCTGAATTTTATAAAGTGTGTTTTTTACAAACTTGACACATTCACGAGTCACTTGTGGTCCATTCAGAATGGACCCAGGACCCACTTTTGGACCAGGATCCACCAGTTGGGGACCACTGCTCTAACAGATCCCATAGCCCCCCCTATTCCCCTATCATGTGTCAGCTGCATTTCCCAATTTGCAAGACTTAACTATTATGTAGTAATATTTTGCATTTTGAAAGTCAAACCAAGTAAGTTTTCCTTTTAAAGCCACAAATCACAGGTCATCTCTATCCTGAAGACCCCTCGATTCACATGAGGAAAAACTCCACCATTTAACTCTTTAACAGGGAAAAGCAAGCAGAGGAACCTCAGAAGGAGCAACAGAGAAAGGATCCTTTCTCCAGGACAAACAGGCATGCAACAGAAGGTGTAAATGCAGACTAGGCACAAATAGCAATTGTAAAATTACAACATGGAAATAAAGTGCAAACATGTATGAAGAATATGGATCAGAAAGGACGTCAAGCAACTGCCATGTGCTGCAATGGCTGGACAGAAACCAGAGGATCTGCAACCTCTGTGGTGATAATTGTGTGGGAGATGAGTATCGGATTTGTCTGAATGTCAGAATGTGAGCTTAATGACTTACAGAGAAAGGTATTTGCCAAAGTATTATTTAAACCCGTCGCTCTATGTTAAATTAATTTTGTTGTTACATTAAGATAAGCCAAAGGTAATCTGTAAACTAGGAGCTTTTCTGAAGAATGTCCTCCTTTTGTCTAATTAACATTGGTTGTACTTTAGCCACACCATGTGCCATTGTTTTGTTATTGCATGTAATGGTTGTACTCCATACTATGGGATATGGTCGTGGAGTCAAATAAATTAAATTAAATTATATTAATAAGTATTCAAATCCTTTACTTCAGTAAAAGTAGAAATACCATAGTCTGTAAATACTCCATTACAATTAAATGTTCTCAATTCACAATGTTACTCAAGTATTTTATCAGCAAAATATATCATAAGTAAAAGTACTCATTATGCAGAAGACCTGTTTTCACAATGTTATATTATCGCAGAATATGATATCACTCGGCTTTTATCGCTGATTGATAGGAGCAATTCAGTGTTGTGGTTCATTAATGAGGAGCAAATTTCAGATACTTCTACGACTGGATGTTTTGGTGGCATAACACTGCATAACATCATGTGGGCATATCATGTTTTTTTTTATTGCAAAAAGCAGCTAGTAACTGTAAGTGCTCAGTAAATGCAGTGTAGTGAAAGGTACAATATTTCCCTCAGACACTGATTGGAATAGAATGTAGAATAAAACAGAAATACTCAGGTGAAGTACAAGTATGTCAAACTTGTACTTCACTTGAATCAATGTGCTTAGTTACACTCTTGAGACCTGTCAGGTGTGACAGCTGCCGTTTTCCCTCTGTACCTGAACTACAGCAGAGCCATCAGCAAATCTAGCAAGCCTCCCGGTAGAGATCTCAAGCTTCCTGGAAAGACAACAAGAACACACTGCATCAAATACTGTGCTGTCTTAGAAACTACAACCACTGTCATGTTCAGATGCATTAAGGTGACATGATGCAACTCTGTGTCCTGGATACCAACATATACCAGCTGTTCAGGATGTGGAGTAATAGTGAGAACACCAGAGCAACAGATACACCTTGACAGCAGGTACAGAAACAATCAGCTGGAAGTGAAACTCATGTCCTGCATGTTTACAGTTAAATGAAAGTCAACTCACTTCTCGCCAAGGTCCACTACCAGTCTTCGTGGGTTTGAATGGCTGCTGTAAACACTCTGGTGACATAACCGGACATGGAGGCGGGCGAAGGAGCGGCCCAGGCGGAGCAGATACCTCATATCTAAAAAGCAAACACGAAAACAAAACAAAGAAAAGTGTCTGAATATCACTCAGTGCGTTTACAGTTCAGATGGTATGCGCATGGAAGCTTCCATGTCAGATAGTCACGGAGACGGAACTGCGTCACAGAGACGCGCCTTCTGATTGGACAAGCCGAGGTGAGTGTGCAACATCAAAAGTGTCCGTACTACCCGATTCACCCAATCACAATAATTCCGCGTCAATATCTATGCATACAAAAATCTTTGATCAAAATGTTGCCTCGAATTAACGAGTAAATTATTGTAGAAGTAGTGGTGAAAAGTTTCGGGTTTTTGTGTTGTGGTGCGGCTGTAGAGAAGGGAGCGGATTAGCTGCTATCTGCTAGCAGCAGTTTGTGCCTCTCATGATTTGTTTGATTTGTCCACAGAGATACATCCTTACATAGAAACATATCCCATATAGTCCATCATAACATTTCCAATTTCTTTGTTCAGCTACACCTGCTGTATTTCCTCTCTAGAGTCTTCAATCAATGAATATTAAAACTAAAACTCCAGTAGCATGTATTAGGCTAAGTAAAGGTAAAAACTGGTCAGGTCTGAGCCACGTTTGTTTCTCTTCTAGGATGTCATAATCCAGGGTAAATAGAAATAAGAGCAATGTTAAATAATTTAAAGAAATAAATTGTCCTGGTTTTGGTTTACCTTATCCTATGGTTTCTATTTTCTGTCCTCGCTTTACTTTATTGCTATTTGAAGTTGTCTCTGGAAATACCTCAAGCAGGTGGGAAAGCTAAAGGATTTTCAGCAGAAAATGCTTGACTATTTACATAAAATAAAAAAACTTCGATAACATACTAGACAGCATTATTATCTCTATAAGTGTCTTTTTGTTTTATAGTTAAACCATTTTCCCAGTCTTTTTCAAGCCTGTCATGAATTTAGGCGACATGAGCATTGTTGTTCTCTTCAGTTCAGCTCAGACAACTTTATTTATTCCAGAAAGGCAATTCAGTTTTACAGTCTAACCAGACTGTACACAAACTCACAGACAGAAACAAGCAGCAATCAAGAGTAGCACCTAATGTCAGAGGGATCAATACCTGGGCAAAAGATGCACACTTGCACTTGGTATGGTCCTGTGCATACTGACTCACACCAAGGCCAGGCAAAAAATAATAATCTACATACTAATGAGTAAATTACTAAATATAAATAAACATTCTAGTGCAGTGCACATTATCTAACATAGGTTGGATGTACGGGCTTTCTGGGATGTGAAGAAAAACAGACACAGAGTGAACCAACTATGTGGAGACAAGGTAAGGCATTCATTTGAAAAGACAGCAGCCTGATAGCAGAAGGAATAAAGCTACTTGTTTCTCTGAGGGGCACTTTATAATGCCAGCCTGAGGGCATTAAGGGGAATTCAAATTCATGAAAACAGAAGTATAATTCCCGTGAAATAATATCCATGTTATCACATTTCTTCCTTTTGTCTTTAGGCCCTTTCCTGTAAAGATCTGCTTCATTGAAAAACAGATGATGCAATGCAATGTGTTAGATGCATAAGGTTTTCAATGTATGCATGGAAAAAATAAAAGACATTTGTATGTAGGCTATAGATACATGCAAATGTTGGATGTGTAAGATAAGACTGGAAATAACATGGTGTATATCATACAACTCTTTATTTTATTTTTTTTTGAGAATCAATTTATAAGAAAAAATGGTCAGAAAGCAAACTGTCTTTACTGCACTACTTTATTTATTTAAACAATATAATGGCATGTTATCTAATGTTCGGAACAAAAAAGCTATGAAGACCTTTAAGTTATGAAATAATTATAATATGATGCATATAACAAAAACTCTGCCAGATAAAATGTAAATGTTTTGTTTGTTTGTTTGTTTGTTTTTAGTTTTTGTTTCTATGTATCTGTTTTTATTTCTGCAGATGAATTTGTACACAGTTGTGAACGCTAGTTGTGATAATAACATGTCACAGAAATGCCATAATCTGTCAATCCAATACAAGTAAAACTCATTAATTGAAAATGTTACTCAAGTAAAGGTACATCAATTTCACAGGCAACAGCTCTGGTGGACATTTCTGCAATCAACATGCCAATGAGAAGCCCCCCTAAATCTTCTGTCATCTGTTTTAACAAATTTGTGATCAGAATTTGAGAGAAATATATTTTCTGAGTGCATAAAAAAGTCTTAGATCTTTAACCTGTGAAAATGGGATCAAAAACAAAAGTGTTGCATTTAAATGTTTGTTCAGTGTATATGACTGGAAGTAGACTGGCACATGAGAGCAGCAGCAGCAGCAGCAGCAGCAGCAGCAGCTCAGAAACCAATTTGTAATTTAAGATGCTACCACTAGGTGTCAGCATTGCACCATAAAGATCATCTTTCAGCCTGTAAGAACATTTACAGCTTAAATAAATGAATAAACCACATGCATTACCTAATACATACATCACTGTGTGCTGTATATGATTTAGAAATTAAGAAAAAACAAACAATATTTATAATTTTACACCATTACGTTCATTAATGTGATCAACCACCATCCACTTTTCATACACAATGGAACGTTATAAATGGCCTTTAATTGTAGTTTACAGCAAGTTAAACAAGAAAAATATGTTAAGTGTGTCTGTGTGTTGTCAGAAGGCTCTTCTCCTCGTGCCAGCTGATCCGTAAACCTGTTAGCTGCGAAATGTGTCTGAAAAATGTGCCTCATACAGCCAGTTTGTTTGACTGTCAGTACATCAGTGACCTTGCCTGCTGATCAGACAGCGAGTCCAGGAAGTTAGCCTACCAGCCAGGCAGCCCTGCAGTCAGTCAGTCAGTGAGCCGACACACTAACAGTGGGGCTGCTGCAGTTGTTATGGCAACAGATGAGTGTTAACACCATCTCTAACACCCTCTGGATTACTTTCGCACACGCACAGACGCATGCACACACTCTGGTTAATTGCAGGATTTCACACAAGCTCACACCCACTGAAAAACACAAGCACACATTCCCATTATTACCAAGGTTTCTACTACTAGTATTATCTTGTTTCCATGGCTCCGGGACACATTGAGATCTCGTTATTACCGAGCAGAGCCATGGGCTATTAGTGCGTAATGGACCAGTCAGTGTTTTGTGGTAGACGACAAGGATCATGAGCAGCTCAGTGGAGGATGCTTTGTGTTAAAGAGACTTCTCAGAGAATCTTCTCGTGCAAATGTCAGTCGAAATCAATTGGTTATCAGTCAGCTGTCTGTCAATCTATAACCTATGTTAATCCATTATTTAAATTGTCATCTTGTCACCTTACAGAGACCTCTGTGACCTTTGACATGATTTGGACTAAGCTGTGTGAAGAAATGATTCATCAGTGGATGTTGTTGAATGAGAAGTGATATTAAAAGGACAATTTCAATAACCAAGACAAGTTAAAGATCACAAAATGATGCACTTCCTTGTTTGAGAATGTATCAGTGATGACATTTTGGACAGCATTTGCAAAGCAACTGGTCTTAAAAAGTGATGAACCATGTAAGAAATGAAAAATACAGATTAGAACAATCTGAAAAACACTGACTTTTGTTCCTTGTTGTCATTTTCTTCGCCCATTGTGTGATACTTTGGTTGCAGCGGCACTCAAGATGTTTGCTTTTCTAATTTTCACGCTGCCTTGTTTCAGGAGGTGACAACAGCACAGCCTGCGTGAGCTCTGCGCTGATCTCTGTTACACATACATGAACACACACATGCAGAAATCACAGGATTTACAGCAGGGGTGAGATTTTTCTGCTGGCACCAGAGCGTGACTGCGTTTTTAAAGGCAGATTATCTATCACCCTAAACACTTCCACTTTTGTGGAAACATGTGACACATACAAGTAGTTTTACAACTTTTTGTTGCACATTTCTTGCAAATTTCCATCAACAGTGATTCTGATATTTGTCGGCATTCATCCTTTTTTTGCGGTGGAAAGACATATTCCCATTTCTCCTCTGTGTCACTGAAAAGCCAGTTATTGGATCCACTGATATGGACATGCATAAGCTTGAGGGAACCACCGTTCAGACAGCTCATAGGGACTTGAATTGGCAACGCAAGATTTCCTTTGTCACAAGCGTGGTAATTACATTATGGCGCATGGCAAGGTTCCATGTAGTACAGTTCTATTGTCTCAGAACAAAGTAGAGCAGAACTGAAGCTTTCTGCTCGGCCAGTGCCACACACAAGCTCATAAACTAAAAGTGTGTATCCAGTGGCCTTCACATGTCTTTTATGGTACATCTATACATCTATAGCTAAAGAAAATCATCTCTCCATACACAAACAGTTCAAAGGCAGGTTAGCTTTGTCAATATGAAGCTCCCATAATAAATTAACCTCATTAAATCAGTACAATGATTGCATACACATTAGAAAACCCACATCGTGTGTGTGTGTGTGTGTGTGTGTGTGTGTGTGTGTGTGTGTGTGTGTGTGTTTGTGTGTGGACTGTCTGGATATGAATGAGGATTCATAGATGAGTGGATACGTGCCTGAGCCTGTAAGATACATGCATAGTAAGTAGCAAGCAGATTCAATGATGACATACAGACTCAGAGAGGGCACTTTCTTTGTTTAGTGAGCATCTTTATAATACCATGTTTGATGGCTTACAATAAGCACAACAGTTATGATCAAACCAGATTCATTGGTTTTAAGTAGTTTCAGGGCCTATCAGTGTACAACTCACATGTTTAAAACATGGGGAAAAAAGATTTCGGCAGAGATATTAGTTCTCACGGCATCAATGAAACAACCCGTGCCTCAAACAAAATCTGTGTTTGTTTGATTTCTGTCTCACAGTGAAAATGCTCATAGCGAGTAACTGCAATTTGTTTCATTACAACTCTGACCCTGCATTCCTAAATGTTGCCTCCCTGCAGTGTTGTTGACCTAAAAAGCCTCTCAGACAGAGTGCAGATAGAGACATTTAAAGCCTCGAGGCCTCGACTGCAAAGAACTGATTACTTTTTGGTCTCAAGCCCTGATCCAGATCGATCATTAATGCTCATCTGGAGAACCTCAGACTGGGACTTATAATGGGTTAAACAGTTTA